CTCTTCTCCGGGGAACGTGCGAGTAATTTTACGCAGCGATTGTTTCCCGTTGCGCGATGCAGCGTGTTGTGCGCGTCGTCACAAAGTTGATGTCGTCTAATTAATGGTGTGCTAACGTCGCGTGGAATCAACGCGGCGCCGTCAAAGGGTATATTGTTATTTCCATATCGACGCTTCGCGGGAATAAGAGAGAGAGAGAGAGAGAGAGAGAGAGAAACAGAGGAGAAAGTGACGCGCGAAGGGAGAGGAGACCTTCCGTCGTGAGCCTCCGATCTCTTTTTCTCTCGCAATTAAACGAAAATTAGTCGAGAAAGAGAGAGAAACGGGGCAGACCGACCATCGTGCGCTTTTCTTGTCGGCAGTTAATTTGCACGGGGAGGCCGGCAGTATGATTTCTCGCGAGATCGCTTGTAAAATTTAACGCACTCGCATCGCGAAATGCAATAAATACTCTACTTATAGATCGACAGATCCAAACTATTCTCGGCGAAAAAGCGACGTTCATCGCTGCTTCCTACGATTTTAGGGGTCATTCGACAATTACATCATACCATGAGGGAATGGTGAGTCTATTAGTTTGTGTGACGCTCTATAATATCAGGGAGAGAAAAATGAAGGCCATCGGACGTTAGGCGTGTTCTCTATGCAAAAAAATCGTCCAACCAAAAATATTATGTTCTATAAAAATAATTTAATTTTGTGTTAATTTGTGAAATTCTAATATTGAAACATTTTATAGAAACACAACTTTTTATAGAAACACAACTTTTGCTCGTACTAACTTTTCATTAATTAACTTTTGCTAATTAAACTTGTAAGACAAAGTAATCAATTTATGTCTGAAAATTATTTGTACTTCGGAAAAGGATAGTAACTAATAATTGTAACTCGCAATACGATTATAAACTATTTTTTCTCATTCTATGTGAGTGGGAGCAACGGGAATAAGGGGGAGGAATGAAAAGTATACAAATCTCGCGTGACGTAATAAATGTGCCCTTACGTGGATTACTAATCGCTCACGCGTCATCTCTCGACGGCGCACCGCGAATTAAGCGGAATCTCATTAGCGGCATTTTTCGCCTGCGATTTCTCGTCGCGAAAGAAGGCGCGCGCGTTAGGAGGAGCAGGCGGAAAAAGCGGCGACGGCGACGCCGCCGAGGGAAAAATGGATGGCTCTATCTTTCGGTAATTAAGACAGCGGCGAAAAATAAACAAACGCGCGGCGGAGAGGACGAGCCCTCCGTGCGCTTTCGGAACCTGCCCCCGTGGCACAGCTGTTACGTCGCCTGGGGCTCAAATAAACGACTTAGGTAGATTAAGCATACAAATCTCGGCGGGCTGCGCTCTCTTGCCGTTTTGTCGGCCTCGACTCGCCCGCGCGGCGGGGTCATCGTAAAAAAATATACGGGGTGTCCACCCCCGAGCGCGCTCTCGCGTCGCGAAAGATCCGCGGCGATACGCGCTCTCGAACAATATACGCTAAGTCTCTCTCTCTCTCTCTCTCTTTCTTTCTCTCTCTCTTCCTCTCTTCCACTCTTTGTGTATTTCTCGCTTATCTTCTTGAGACGCGGTTCGAAAATCACGCAGCTGAGTTTGTTTATCATACGGAACGCTCCAAAATCAACGCGGCGGGGTTTTTGTTAAGATTGCTGCGATCGGGACGATTTGCGGAAAATCTCACGGAGAAGGGGTTCTCTGAGAATGTTCCTTGATGTCTCGTTAATGTATTAACGATGTTATTAATTTGGCGAACAACGCCGAAGATTGTGAGTGAAGATTAATGGCGAAATTGCTCAAGTGAACGTCGCGCAATGAACGAAGATGATCAATGCGTGTGGTTACAGATGTTACCATGACCGTGAATCGTAGGGGAGACCGACGCTAAATACCTTATATTTAGCGAATATCGAAGTTACAACTTCTCAGGCAATTAATTGTTGTTATCTCACTGTATAAATATGATAGAAGCAACTTTTTATGTATTAATATCCACCACGACTCTGTTATATTTTATTTTGTAATAACCAAAATACGAACATGCAACAACATAGGCATCTTGTCTTGATTCAGTTACCCAGCAGTATAGGATAAGACGGCTACATATAAAATATGTATCCTAATTAATAGTTCCACACGGAAAAAAAGGTTTGGTTGAATTAACCAAATATCTGGTCGAATATAAACGACCCAGAAATTCTGATTGAAGTAACCCAAATTCTGTTTAAGTCAACTAAAAATCTTGTTAACTTAAACAGAATTAGGGTTATTTCAATCGGAATTTTTGGATCGTTCATATTCGACCAATTATTTGGTTAATTCAACCAAACCTTTTTTTCCGTGCAGGATTTTCGCGAAAAGTCCTCACAGTCTTCCTGCCGGCTCTTAATTATAGGCCAATTTTAATAATTTTATGAATAAAAATTACATTTATTATCAAAAACAGTATATCATATACTTGCAATAAATTTTATTCTATCTAATAACACATTGCTTAATTTTATCCAATCACGATAGAGAATATTAATACAAAATTTTGGGAGGCTCGAAAATTTACTTTGCTATTACCAAATTAGTGTTTTCTATTTCTTAACTATAATATTACTCCGATTTTAACAAAACTTAGGAAAAAATATTTATGTTCTAAAAGGGCCATATTTTTCACGATTTTATCAATTATTCCTCTCAAAATAAATACTAAAAAAAGCACATGAACAACATGCCTTCGGAATCATATAGTCCCCCGGTCTCTCCTATAGGTTATTTATTGAATCGAACATTCGAGTACGAGCCAAGTTCTATTGAAGCAATAATGACTCACTGCGTTGATCATCAGTCGCTCATTCGCTCGCTCGCTCGCTCGTTCGCTCGTTAAACATTAATAGACTTACGTGGCTGCGGAGCAACTCCGAGGGCGGACAGTACTGATCCTCGTATTTGATCAAAATCGACTGATAGTCGATGATTATCTCAATTCTGTACGTGTAGCAATTTTGTGATAACATGAGATCGCGGTAACATTCATCAAACACATTTCAATATTGAAAATCTATGTGGAACATCAGTTTTCACAAATATGCACAATCGCGGACAGAAAGGTTATCTGTCGTTTCTTTGTGAATTCAGGAACATATTCGTCTTGTTCAATAGGAGAATCTGTTTTCCACTAGCAGAGTTCTGCCACTGGACAAAATGGATACGTTCCTGAACTTACAAATAAAAAAACAAACAAATTTTCTGTCCGCGATTGTACATACGTCGCGCGGGCGCGTCCAAAATATCTTTAAATTCAAAAGACAACTTCTATGAACAAAATTCCTTTCTACTTAACTCCTTGAGTGTCAATGACGCAAATATCCGTATTCGAAAAAGAATACTTAGCAGAGAAATTGATAATTAACAACGAAATATATGTATTTTTATAATTTTGAGATGGCTGAATCCAAATCTCAGATCAAAATTTCAAAATGCAAAGTGCCGAATCAAATACGACAGATCGAAAATTTTAAAAATCGTTCGATTTGCATAAAAATTGGATTTAAAGGTTTTTAAAATCACTAATTTCAAATTCAAAATAAAAATTCATGAATTCAAAATAAATTCAAAATTCAATAAAATGGGCAAAAAAATTCAAAATATTATTCAATTTGCATAAAAAATAATTCTGAAGGATTTTGATTATTTTCAACTTTTCACCGCCATATTGGATTCGCCATTTTTCCAAAGAAAAATTTTAATTTTCAATTAAACAGCGGCCTTGAGAAACTCACAATACACACCTTTATACGAATCGAATGATTTTTTAAATATTTGTTCTGCCATTTTGAATTTTGAAATTTTGGCCTTAGATTTAGATTCAGCGACTCACACATAAAAAACGCGTAAAAAATGACCTTTTTATAACTTTATTAACTCTTTTGTCGAAAGTATTTTTGGCCTACAAATATTTTTTTGTCTAACCAGCCAAGGAGATGCATTAATTATAAATTATACTTATTCTTTGGAATATAATTTTGTGCGAAAACAAGAATAACCACGTTTGAGTACACCAATGTGGTCACAATATATTTTTTCCGAAATAAAAAGAATATATTTCTGAAAACAGTTTCTCCTATTCCTCCCTCGAATTTAGCAACACGCGAAACAAATACACATCCAAGAAATTTAGAGAGCAAGGCATAACTATTATCATCTTGAATATTTCATAGCATCTCTGCTATTTCAAACAATATAAAAAAATAGAAAAAACAATTTTAAAAAATAGAAAAAATAGTACCTACAAAAGTTTCATGGTTTAGAAAGAGACATAATGTAGCGACAATAATTCTTTTGTGAGTAAAGAGATTTTAAGATCACCTTAAATTGAATGGAATTATAGTTTTTCTCTAACATACATAAATTGCTTTGTTCATATATGTTGCACATAAAAGTACTGGAATGAAATGATCGAAAGCGGAATATTTTCCGAGATGTTTCGCATTTTGTACCTTCCAGTACAAGATATGAAATATTCCGTAAAGTTTTCGATGGTGCTTTTATACGCGGAATGATCAAAGGAATTTATTTACGTTGAAAAAATCAATGATTCCATTAACAAAGATTTTAGGTGCCTTGAAATCTTCTACATTCCCGCACTCTCATAAAAGGATCATTGTCCCCGTCGAAACCATAAAACTTCTGTAAGCAATATTCTCCCATATGTGAAATAGATCCGTTTGAAACAATAGAGATATTTAAAATGGTAATAGTTATTGTCTTACCCTATCTTTATATCTTTTTCTACTATACACAGAAGGAAAAAATATTTTCTAGTTTACATCTTTTCTGTATATAATATCGAGAATACACTTTTCCCTTAACCTCTCTCTGCTTCAGCAGAGCCCTTGGCAGGCTGAGAGGTCTCAAGTTGCTGGATCAGACCGCTCTCGAAGCCGTCCGCGTGACGTGGCGCAATGTAAAGAAAGCAAAGACGTCATGCAATCAGACTGTATCGTACTCACGTCTGTAGGGTCGTCCCTCCTCCGGGGTGGACCGCTCGGTATTCTCGGACCCGGGTGTAGCGTTGGCGTCGCGGTCCTCTTCGTCGGGGGTTGCGCCACGATTCGGTCCCGAGCCGGTGCCACCAGTACCGGTGGGCGATCGGCTTGCGGAGCCAGCCGGGCTCTGTGGGCCCCCGTCTTGGCTGGCCGCGGCGGCGGCGGCGGCGGCGGCTGCGGCGGCCGCAGCGCCGGAAACAGACACTACCGCACCCCCGCCAGCTCCGGGTAGAGACGTGGGCGAGAACATGTTCGACATGCTCGTAAGCGAGCCGATGCTGGGCAGGCCGCCGTTCCCCGGCACCGCGCCGTTCCCGGTCTCGACCTTGAGGCACTTGCTGGGGGGCGCGAACGCGGACGGCACCAGAGGCCGGAACCCGCCGAAGGGCAGTCTATGGTCGAGCGGGTGCAGGAATTGCGGCGGCAGGTGCAGCATGTGATGCAAGCCGTAGCCCAGCGACGCCGCCGTGCTGAAGGGCACCTGCAGGTCCTTCGAGTCGGTTACCTGGGAACACGAGAAAGGAAAGAGGCGGTTGAGAGAGAGAGAGAGAGAGAGAGAGAGAGAGAGAGAG